GATTTCGCGTACATGTTCCGGCGAAACTCGAATTTGCATATTTCGCCGTGAAATACGCTCGACAGTGGAATCTCTGTTTCGATTCGCGCGGATTGCAACGCAATCTCGACCATTGATACTACACGGTACCGCGGAACGATGTTATCGTTGCTCGATAAAAGGAGAGCAGAGCGAGAGAGAGAGAGAGAGAGAGAGAGAGAGAGAGAGAGGAGAAAAAGGGGAGTGAATGCACTCGATGTGTAGTGAAGTGACTCCTAACCAATGTGTCCTCTGGACTCTTTGTGGGTCTCTTTCGAGGGCATCGGGTCAGTTTGAACGACAACGGTCTTGGCAATTATAATTGAATGGTATCGGATGACCCGTATGTCGGGAATAACTGATTTTTACCGTTCTGTGAAGCATTGTGCAACAGTAAGCTGTCCCAGAAGGCACTTTCATTCATCCCTTTGCCAGATCAAGCGGCTATGGTTGTTCGAATGCACGCCATCGATGACCTTGCTCGCTTAAAATCTTGTACACGCGGTGTACCAAATGCGGTAAATTGAAATACAGTAATTGAAACCTGCACCGTAACGTGAATTTTGCATCACGATGCCACTATAAACCGAGGCAATTATTTTTCTATTTTGCTAGCAGATGCTTTGTTTTAGATCTTTTGAAGGTACTGCGAATAATTGTCTTTATCGGAACAATTAATATAACCAACAATTTAACGAACGCTATTCCAAGATTCTAGACTGACGGCGATAAAAACCTACGGTTGTGGTCACACTTGTTTCCACCTGCTTTAATATCGCAACAATTTTAAACGAACGGCCGCCTCATTAGCTGTTAATTTAAAGCGGGAACTTTAGATTAAAATTTTCAATTTTAAGCTCCCGGAACCGCAGACAGTGTTTCCCGGGAAAATTCCGCGACAATAAAAGGCTTTTCCACGAAAATATGAACAAATAGAAACCATTGTTGCAGCGATAATTAAACTTCGAATATTAATGCTTTCACGGCGCGTGCTTGAAATGATCGCGTTATTATTCGTTTTCTACAAGGTTTTTTCTCCGCAGATATTTCAACGCGTGAAAATCTGCAATACACTGGTAAAAAAACGAAATATAGTAGTACAATGCTACGGTAAAAATGAGAAAGCAGACAATAATAACCGCTAATTTGTACATTATTTCAGGCAATTACGCGGCGAAGTTCCTCCCCAGCCGCCTATGCATCTCGAACCGAAAATTAAAAGCGTTGTGAACGCAAACGGATTGGTAAGTCCCCAGAAAATTCTCACAATGCTCAAAAAAAATCTCCATCTCGAGGGAGGCTCGTCAAAATCCAGGATCAAATAGCTATAATATAGCTCACAATAGCTCAAATAGCTATAATAGATAGATAATATAGCTATAGATAACATATATATTTGAGCTATTATAGCTATATTATCTATATGTATATATATATATATATGTTATTTATCTATATATATATAGATATCTAGATATCTAGATATATATATATATAGCTATAATAGCTCAAATAGCTCGAACGCCTTCGAGCCGAGATTGCGAAGCGTTCCTAGCACACGCGACAATCGTAAAAGCGTAATCGCGAGTGCCACGCGTCCGAATGATAACGACGGACAATTCCACGCGCCTCGGAGCTTGCTCATTGAATTTTCTTTTTCGCGAAAACACGGGTTGTGCCGGGGCGGGGACGAGGACGGGGTCGCGCGTGCTGGCCACCCAGCGCGGAAAGTTCGTCGCGTACACGCGAATACGGTCGCGGCACACGCGGGGGTTGGCGGAAAATAAAAGCCCCTCGGCGAGAGGACACGGAAGCGGCAAGGAAAAGTGTATGGTAATTCGATAATCCGTACAATGGTTGCGGCCGCGGCCGCGGCCGGCTTCCGCGTTCACGCGGACATAACTCGCTCGCGTTATGAATTTCAGGTGTTCCAAGTAGATTAAAAATTTCAGCCCGCTTCCAACGGAATCAAGCCGGTTTAACGCTATTGCGCGAGTATAACGGGCCCTCTGAATGCGCCTAGAAGCGCATTTATTAACAGAGTAATCCTTTCGTTCCCATAATGTTTCGTTCCGCTGCTGTTTGACTGGCGGGTCTTAAACGCGCGCTCGAGCTCTTCTTATCTCTCGGAAAGTATGCCATTTACATTTCCAAAAGAACTGTTACGGTACGTTGCCGGTACCTCGCGAACAATACTAATCGAGACAGAGGTTACCAGGAAAGAGAGACGACTGTTCCCAAATCGACGAAAGCATTTCAAGGCGGAAGTTCCAAGGAAAAACAGAAGTTCCAAGGTAGGCTCCGGTCGAACGGTTAAATTTTTCTCGCGGATCTCGTTAGTTCGGTAACGAAACCGTGTGGTTTCCCGATAGAAGGGTCGCGCAAATTCTGGAATCGTTTGTTCGGCAGGGTTATTCCGAGATCGTGGAATCGAGCCGGTATTCCTTCGAGGGCGCCGGGCCGATTCAATCACGGCGTCGATATAATATTCACGAAGAGGGATTCTGTCAAACGTTGGGCCGCGGTCTTGCGGTTCGACGTTCGAAATGGTTTGCCGTGAAGCCAGGGGCCGGCCCTCCTGTCGCCCCTGGAGCTGGATGCGGCGTCCTGGCTATCAGGGTTTACGATTGACCGAATCGTAAAGCCGTCGCGCCGTGTCGCGCCGGTGCGCCGGTGCGCCGGGGATACGATCAGCCCTGCCGGAGCCGATATTTGATTCTCGATCGTGTAAGCCGGAAACCGACCCCGACGGTGCAGCAAATTCCACGCAAATGCGGCATTAATTCACCCTCGGCCAGGCACACCGCAAGCCCTCCGGCAACTTTTCCCTCCTGCGCGCGCGGTCATTACTCTGTCTTCCACTTGATACCTCATCTTCCTACGGGCTCGAGCGTCGGAATCCGGGTCACCGATATTCGATGCGACCCGCCGCCACCTCTATTCGATCTCGCTCGTCCACGATCTTTCCCCCGAGTTCCTTCTATTTTCGTCCCTTCTTCGAAATATCGAGGCAGCTGCGATCCTTGAGAGCGAGTGGAATTAATAGCCTGCGGCGAGCCGACGGATTCGCGTTCGTCGTTTAACCGATCGCGAGCCTTTTGCCCGGTTCCTTCGGGAGCTACTAGGAAAGACGAGAAATTCAGAAAATTTCTTCGGAGGAGGGTGATCGCGGAACGCGATTGAAAGAAGTTAGGATTCTGCTCGCATAAATTAGGGTCACGCGAACGCCCGGTCTTTAACGGACGAGCAAACAAATGTAACTGACAAAAATTTCTTTTTGTAGTTAAAGAATGCCTCTAGATGTCCCATGAAAGTTCGTTCTCGCATCATCGACAGTTCTCCCGGAAAACAATCGTCGAGGTCGCTTTTATAGACGTTTTCGTAGAAGAAATCGGTACTGTCTTATTTCGTTCTAACCGATTGAAATAGAGAAATAATGTTCCATAAGACGCGGACCTAACGGATCGACAACGTAGTGTCCTATAAATGAAACGGTTTCGGGCAGACGACCTGCCGAGGATCGATCAGACATTTCTCGCGATAAGACGCCCGATTATTTCGAAAGTTTCCAGATCCATAACCAATTTCGATTCGCTCGGTCGATCGATCTCTTCGGCGTCGTTAGTCGCGGTACTTCGAACCACCGGGGTCGATCAACGTTTCATTAACCAGCCCGTTTGCCATCGCCTTTGTCGCCTTCGTCTCTGCGCTAATCGCAGCAATTACGGTCGCCGGGAACTTTATGCCGAGTGTTCTCCCAACGTGTTACGGAGCCGCGCCGCGTGTCACCCGGGCCCGGTTGTAAAGTTCTTCCCGGCGCGGCCGCGAATCTTTCCTTCTGATTTACGGGCCGTCGGAAGTTCTCGAGTGGCTCCGAAGAACTGCCGTTACCCGGTCGGAAGAATTTTTCGGGAGAATCCCGCGGCAACCGAAAAGTATCGCGGATCCCACGGAATTTCTTGAACCGCCGCGGCGCCGCGAGATACAGTGCCGCCGGGTTTCGTATAATACGAGGCCGGCCGTATTAAAGGATGAAATTTATAAGTCGAGTTTCTAGCATAAACTCGGCAGATATCTCGCTCGAGAGGGAAACAGCGAGACCGGGCTCTCGCCAGACTTCCTTGCCGCTGTTTCAGGCGGACTCGTTTCTGCCTCGACCTCTCTTGGCTGTTTCATCTTTTTCTCTGCTGGATCGTCGGACGATTCGCGACCCCGTTGCCTACGCAGCGTCGCGATCGCGGCCTGCTGTTCGTCCGCGAAGAGCAATTTGACCGGCACGATAGGATTCGTGTTAATAACGGCAGCAACGTTATCCACGATATATCTTCTTCTCGGACCGTGCGAATTTCGTTTCTATTCTCTTTCATTTCATCGAACGAATTTTTGTTATAACTTCTTAATAGAGCTCTGTATGACCTATATTTACATAACATTTTTTTCTTACTTTGTGCCATAGAATACACTGACAAAGCTTGAACATTAAAACCTGGGACACCCTGTATATTATAAGTGTCGCAAAATTTCGTTCGCAAATAACAGTAATAATCCGGGGGTCTGCGACGAAACACGGCGCCAACGAGCGTCGGCGAGCAAGCGCTCGGGCTGTGCGCACCCTTTCGAGAGGTCCCGTGTGCCATTGATTCGCCGTAAAGCCAAGCTCTCGAAGCGGTAACATCGCACCTGCGTTTAACGATTCCGTAAGTTGCTATAGTGCCGTTGGAGGCTTTCGTTGACCCCTCGCCCGGTGTGTTGCATCGGGAATGCTGAAACCAGGCATTAGGCTAGACAGGGTTCACAGGAAACCCATCTACTTCGAAAACGATCGAACATCGGCTGGAAGCTGTCGCGTTTCTCCTCTCGATGAACCGACTCGTCGGTCGGTTCCAGTTCGAGTGCTCGATCACATTTATCCTGTATTTCCAGAGCAAGGAATTGTTCGCTCTCGTTTTTTTTATAAATTCACCTATGAGCGAAGATTCTGCAGCTGTAAGTTCGAAGCGAACCGAACGGATACAAACCTTCTGAAATATTGCGTATAGCTTCGGAAGCTACGAGGGAAAAGACTGTTCGATACGATGCCGCGGGGAGAGCATTTCGAAGTTGGTTCGCAACTCCAAGCGCAGGCTATGAAAGGGCGTAATTTTCCGGAGACGGCGGCGCCTCTTAGCGAGCAATATTTTATTGCGGCAGAGATCAGCTTTGCGTGCGGGCCCCGAGAGGCTGACAGGCCGGCGGGAGAGGATGGAAGCGAAATGGACCGAGGGTAGTTCGAACGAGCAGACAGACTGTTCATTCAGCGACCGGCCCGGCCCGGCCCGGCCCGACCGCCCCGTCGCGGGAAGAACCTTAAATGGTTTTTGCGCAGTCGAATCCGGGTCTAAACGTGTCAAAACTTTTTAACGAGCTCGTTAGGGCGGGCGACCGGGGGTGCTGGTCGACGGAGGTGGAAATTAATTATCACCGGGGGAACGTTGCTCCTCCGGCACTCCTTTTCGTTCGTCCGCGTCCTTTTTCCGACCGCCGCCGCCGCCACTGCCGCCGCCTTTCAAACTTTCGCGGGACACTTTTGTTCCGGCCACTTTTAAACGATTAGAAAGCGAAAACTCGTTACCCTTGCGGCCCGCGGAATCTGATTTAAACTTCCGCCTCGCGACTTTCGGAAGACGTTAACGTGCTTTCTTTTAAGAACGGGGGCAAGAGAGAGAAAAAAAAAGAAAAAATTGGCGCGCCTTCATTGTATCGAGTAATAATGGGAACGAGCAAGAACTACGGCGGACAGGTCGGTTACGAGGGAAAATTTTTAATAAGTTAACCGACCACCTAATGGCCGAAGGAAAATTCATGGATTAATAAGCGGATAAGGCGCGCGAAACTTGGCACCTTCTCGTCGAATATGCTTCGCCGCAATTGTTACGTTTCGAACATTTAAAACGTTTATCGATTCGATCGTTATTATCGTTTAGCAATCGTTATAATGATTAAAGAACGAATTCAAAGTCTACATAGCTCCCGTATCTTGTAATTACTGCATACAATTTTTATTTCGCATACAAATCCGCGGTCCATCGATAAAGTCCCAGTCGAAATTGTTTCGGCTAAAGTCTCCGAACGAGAAAATTGTCCAATATTTATCAAGCTTCGTATATTTGAAGGCAATAAGTGCCGCATGATTTCATCTCTCGATAAACAATTGGTCGAGGAAACTTTGGGCTCCATGGAATTGGACCCGATAATTGTTGTAAAAAAAAAATGAAGAATTCACGAGCAACGCGTGAAACTGAACGATCGCGTTCCAAGGTAAACGAGCTTATGTTACGGAATAATTGTTCGGCGTTCTCCGATGCAACAGATTGCGCGTTCGAATGCGAAGCGCGACACGCGAATTTTTCTGGCGAAGGATAATTGCGAGGCCACGCCGGGGGGCCGATCGAGAATAAAATTCGAACGTTCGATACCGTCGTTGTGCGGGACTTTGTTCGCGACTCGATTGATTCATCCGATTGATAGGTAATCAGCCATTATCGAATCCGCGGGAACGAGAATCTAATCAAGCCCCCGGTCGGAATTTACAGCACGTACGATTCCGAAATGCCAATAAACCGAGCCTGCGTTTACGATTTCAACGCGTGTGCTTTGCACTTGATTGGCTCCTACGCGTTGCGTGAATCAGCAACGAGCGCGGCCCTTTGTTACTCGTAAATTGGAGAATCGTTGCGCTTCATTTACAACCGGCGTTTATTTCGCTGGACAGTGACTTCCGGCCCCGGCTCTTTGTCTTCCACGTCGCTATTGTGCCACGTGTAGCACTCGGTAATCTTCCATTATCATCCACTTTTATTGTTACCAGGGAAAAAAGCTCCTCCCGTACTGTCTGTCCGAGCAGGAAACGTCGCGAATTTATGTTCGCGAGTTTGGATTTTTACCTTGTTATGGAAACGGTGCGTTCGATGAACGTTCGACGTTATCTGCGCGATCGAAAGGAAGCACAGGTCTTTCGATGCATCGTTTGTCCGAGCACGCAAGCTCGTTAAAATCTTTAACAAGTATTTTGCCGTGTTAAGAAAAGCGATGCGTTCAACTTCCAGTCACGGCGTATGCCAGTTTTAAGGAGTTCACAAGTCGCAGAGTTGATTCAGAATCGAGCAGGAATTGCTTCTACCAGGCTAGCTGTTAAAAGATAATACTTTTATCATGTTAACAAAATAATATATTCGTATTTATTCTCTAGAACTGTTTACTTTATCCACGATTAAAAGAAAAAAAACGATGGAACGAGGATAATTAAACTGTGTTAAAAATCTTGAGAAATCTTTCGAACAAAGAGTCGTTTAAAATATTAATCTACTCCGATTTCGTATAAAATTCTGCAGTTCAACTTTCGCGACGGATCTAGACAGAAGTCGAAGATATCTCGAGTTCGATAAATTCTGAAATTTACTTCGATGCGTAGCCCGAATGCTTCGGGCGTTGTTCGCGAATCGAACGGAAAAGGAGGGGCAATGAAGAGACAAGAACGGACAAGTCAATTTCAGTTGTACAACGACCGCATTTTCGCTGGGTCGTTGCCTTTATTTCGGGTATCAGTAACGTTTGAAATGTTAGCATATACTCACGAGGCTGGCCGCTTCGTTGATCACGACTACTTGCACACGAATGGTCGTAATTGATCGATCGATACGAAACAATTCTCATACATTTTTCTTTCGTTTTGTAGAATCGGAACGGAAAATTCGGTGATGAGCTCGAGTGAAATGTAATATAATATCAACGACGTGTGTTCTGTATCGATGGCACGAGGGAAGTTGATGATTCGTCATCATTCGATCATACGTCTCTCTCTCTCTCTCTCTCTCTTTCTTCGTTTTTTCATTTTTTTTTGTATTATCTTATTTTTATCGTTCCGTTTTCAATTTTTCTCGTTTATCCTCGATGGAGTCCTTAAAATTTGTTCTCGGCTATATTAAAAGTTCTCGAGTGTAAAAACATCGTTAAGAAAGGATATTATTATTCTGGTGCGTTTAATACGATATACGAGTCTTAAAGTGGTGGTTTTTACGATTAACGAGACGCGTGTCGATAGTCATCGGATCGTGAACGTGATATAAGAGCGACGCGCGGTGGTCAACTTCGATCGTGCAAAATCGTAGGAAAGTACTGGCAGTACGCGTTCATCACTTCTCGCCGGCAAACGAGAGTTCTTCTTCGTCCGAGCTCCATCAAAGTCTAACCCGGCATCTACTAGCCTCCTCCTCGAGCCGTCCGAGCGAACCGGCCATGTTTTTACGACTCGACGACTCGGCTCTCGCGACCGACGCACTCGAACAAACGAAACTCGCTGCCGGAAGCAACAGAACAAGGCTCCGAAAATGTGTCTTCCGCGTATCTATGGAAATGTGTCCGCGAATCGCCGCCGGCCGGCCCGCGACCCCCGGAGGATCAATATGTTCTTCGACTTCAGGTACCGTATGTACAAGCATCGTTTCGCTCGTCCCACTCACACACTCACGCACGGAACAGTCTCACTCGCTCGCCAGATCGGTCGTAACGTGTACATTTTCGTATAATAGTATTAATTATTATTGACTAGAACAGTTTTGGTTCCAGCATCGACGTGGAAATCGTTGAGTGCAGCTCAAACAGCTTCGCGCGTTGGTCTTCGAGGACGCGGGAACCGTCCTCGATTCTTCCAGCCTTCCTNTAGAACTGTTTACTTTATCCACGATTAAAAGAAAAAAAACGATGGAACGAGGATAATTAAACTGTGTTAAAAATCTTGAGAAATCTTTCGAACAAAGAGTCGTTTAAAATATTAATCTACTCCGATTTCGTATAAAATTCTGCAGTTCAACTTTCGCGACGGATCTAGACAGAAGTCGAAGATATCTCGAGTTCGATAAATTCTGAAATTTACTTCGATGCGTAGCCCGAATGCTTCGGGCGTTGTTCGCGAATCGAACGGAAAAGGAGGGGCAATGAAGAGACAAGAACGGACAAGTCAATTTCAGTTGTACAACGACCGCATTTTCGCTGGGTCGTTGCCTTTATTTCGGGTATCAGTAACGTTTGAAATGTTAGCATATACTCACGAGGCTGGCCGCTTCGTTGATCACGACTACTTGCACACGAATGGTCGTAATTGATCGATCGATACGAAACAATTCTCATACATTTTTCTTTCGTTTTGTAGAATCGGAACGGAAAATTCGGTGATGAGCTCGAGTGAAATGTAATATAATATCAACGACGTGTGTTCTGTATCGATGGCACGAGGGAAGTTGATGATTCGTCATCATTCGATCATACGTCTCTCTCTCTCTCTCTCTCTCTTTCTTCGTTTTTTCATTTTTTTTTGTATTATCTTATTTTTATCGTTCCGTTTTCAATTTTTCTCGTTTATCCTCGATGGAGTCCTTAAAATTTGTTCTCGGCTATATTAAAAGTTCTCGAGTGTAAAAACATCGTTAAGAAAGGATATTATTATTCTGGTGCGTTTAATACGATATACGAGTCTTAAAGTGGTGGTTTTTACGATTAACGAGACGCGTGTCGATAGTCATCGGATCGTGAACGTGATATAAGAGCGACGCGCGGTGGTCAACTTCGATCGTGCAAAATCGTAGGAAAGTACTGGCAGTACGCGTTCATCACTTCTCGCCGGCAAACGAGAGTTCTTCTTCGTCCGAGCTCCATCAAAGTCTAACCCGGCATCTACTAGCCTCCTCCTCGAGCCGTCCGAGCGAACCGGCCATGTTTTTACGACTCGACGACTCGGCTCTCGCGACCGACGCACTCGAACAAACGAAACTCGCTGCCGGAAGCAACAGAACAAGGCTCCGAAAATGTGTCTTCCGCGTATCTATGGAAATGTGTCCGCGAATCGCCGCCGGCCGGCCCGCGACCCCCGGAGGATCAATATGTTCTTCGACTTCAGGTACCGTATGTACAAGCATCGTTTCGCTCGTCCCACTCACACACTCACGCACGGAACAGTCTCACTCGCTCGCCAGATCGGTCGTAACGTGTACATTTTCGTATAATAGTATTAATTATTATTGACTAGAACAGTTTTGGTTCCAGCATCGACGTGGAAATCGTTGAGTGCAGCTCAAACAGCTTCGCGCGTTGGTCTTCGAGGACGCGGGAACCGTCCTCGATTCTTCCAGCCTTCCTTCCTTCCTTCCTTCCTTCCTTCCGTCCTTCCTTCCTTCCTTCCTTCCGTCGTTGTCCCCGGCAGACATTGTCCGCGTCCTCCGAAATCATCGATGAGGATCGAGTTTGCCTATCTACTTAGAACGCGAAGAAAAGGTTGCAGAGAAAGGGGACATTCGCTGACGCGAGGCCGCGCGGAATCGAGACCATTCTAAAGAGCAGTCTCTCTCTCCTCGCCGCTTTTCTCGCCTAGACAACGATCTTTCGATTCCCGCGATCCTCTTCTTCTCGGCAAGCTCCTTCTTCTTCTTTCTTCCTTTATTTCCTTTCCTTTCTTCCTTCCCCGGCCGAAGGACGTCCTTCTACGGCGCCATCAGTCGCTTCACGTTGTAGCGGCAGTAATCTCGTCCTCTTATGTCGCCGTATGGAATTTCTTCCTCGAGCGGCTCGATCCCTTCCGCCGCCATCTCGTCACGAACCTGCGGATGCAGACATTTCTTTGATTAGTGTAGCGGAGCGCTCGAATCTTTAAGCAATTTCTATTTCGTTGCTCGCGGAAGCGTTCGATGGACAAATTAAATTGATTCGAAATATGTTTCTACTTTTCATAATCTTGATATATCGAAGAGAAGCTGCTTTCTTACTGAAAATTGGCTCGTTCAATAAAACGCTTTGAAATGCTTTTCGGTATAGCCATGACTTTATATTAAACGACGAATAAAGTCACCCAATCGAGAGCGACGAAACTGGCTCGCGAATTCGAGGAGGAAATATGGAAGATAATTTTTGCATACTTATTCGATAAATCCAACAATTCGTAGAATTTTCTAACGCGTCTATACTTTGGTATCTCTTATCCGCTTTTTAACGATCGATAATAAACATATGGTCTAAAATATGAGAAACTCGGTCCTGCGATTCCCGTCCATTTTCATTTTACAATTACTCGAGATAACTCGCGTTCAACGCGATTGATTTGTCAAATGCCTCGCGAGTCGCGATGCCACTTAATACTCTTAGTTTCGCGTGGAATGCGACTCGTTGACTATACGATAAATTATGCAAGCATAAATCACGTGATCCGACGCGCACGGGCTTACAGATATTGGGAGTTCGTTGAGGAAATTTTAACGATTTGTTCTGCCGCGATTTGATGCAATATTTCATCGCCGTTGTTTCAGTTTGCGGTAACATTTGTCCATCGCGATAGTTACACGATTCCATTAATTCTGTTGAATAATTCGACGTAGATTAATGTTTAACAGATGGTAAAATTGGCAGGAAACGGATAATACCGTCGTCAATATTCATTGCTAGTAGTATCGTTCGGCATTAGTCGGCCGCATAGTCGAATACGTATACTGGAAGCGTTCGGGTATGTTCGGCATTAATTTTCTCAGGAATGCGAATCATGGATTACAAGATGTTATTCTACGCGTTCTACGTGCCTTAAACGAATCGTCAATTATTATATAATTTATCGGTAACAAAAGTATCGATATGTTTGTTGCGTACCATGATCTGAAACCGATAGCAACCAGTAAAGCAATTATTATATATCTGGTGATCGGTTTGAGATTGCGACTCGAACCGAATCTTTCGTACAACTTAATTTACACGAAACAGTCTTCTAGTTAAAAATCGCTTGGAAACCGAGTAAATCAAAGTATCCAACGACCAGCCACGCTCGAACCCAAATTGTATGCGACTCGTATAAAGCAACCGAGGCAAATCCTGGAGCACTCTACGCTCTACACCGTTGCAAAGAGTCCTACGAGCAAACCGGAAGCGGAGAGGGTCGCGACAGTTGTGTATTCGGCTGCCCGAGATCGTGCAGCGGAGATTTTTTAAGCGGAACGGAAATTTTCCCGGTACCTATGGCTGGTCGGAGAGAAAAAGCCAATCAATTTTCACGGTGGTTCGGGTTCCTGAAAGCTCGTAGAGCGAGGTCGGCCCGAGACTCGTACGGTGCACATGGCGTCGCGAATATTCTCAGGAAAAATCACGCTTGGCCATCGTCGGTCGGTAGAGCAGCGAGAGGGAAAGAGAGAGAATAAGGGAGAGAGAGCGAGAGAGAGAGAGTGTGAGAGAAAGGGAACTAGAGCAAGAGTGTGCGCGAGAGAGGGGGCGATTGTATGGCGAAAGCCATCCGGCAGGGGAAAAAGTTCGCGGTGCGCGTATTTCATGCGACCCTGCACAGCCACCATCAATTTTCGGTAAGCCCATTAACCTTCCACGGCCATTACGGTCGGCCCGAAGCTTTCGACGCTCGGCGAACGCGTAACCGATGTTCACCACGCTTTTTTCTCTCTCCTCCAGCCTGAGCCCGCCTTTTTTCCAGCCTGTCTCGTGTTTTTGCTTTTTAATCGTTGAACAGCCCCTGCACAGCGGCCCTCCTTTCGCGCCGCGAACGCGTACATATTTCCTGGAGCTTCGAGCATCCATTGCCGGATAGAGGGGCGAACCGGTTCCGGAAGACGGAGCTTGATGGCTATTGCTTTTTATTCGACGCACGGCCGCATCTTCTCGCTTTCCTGCGCGACGATCGCGGTCGCCGGAACTTCGTTCTCGATATTTGCGAGGCCAAACTCGCGTTTGCTTGCTCGACGATTCCCGATCTGCGTGCTTTCGTAGCTTGCATCGAAACCGAACAACTTGGAACCAGTTTACCGGACAACGCGTTAGCGAATTTGTGCAAAAGTTGCAATTAATTGGAGCGTCGGTGAAACAAAAGAATTACACCTCTGCGTACAAGTTATCTGTGAAACGCAGTCGTCTTCAAATTTTCGCGTCAGGCACGGATAAAAGAAGCTGGGAAACGTAATTATTTATTTCGCTCGCCGCCGCAACCGATCGCATCTTGGTGTACATAATACGCGGTGCCCGAAGCGAAGAAACATTTTTCGCCAGCCAAAGTACACAACCGAGCGAGCTACGCTATTTAGAAAGCGACTCGCTCTCCTCGAGCCGCGAGAAAACATTCCCTCGAGCGTTCGCGTTCCAAAGAGATTAGGAGAATCCATCAGCCGCGGTATCCTTAAAAAGTCCCCGGCCGCAGTCATTCCCACGGCGCGCGGCGGCGTCTTTACAACCGGAGCGATCCGGAAAAATGTTAACGCGATACCCCGGAAGCTTCCATCCGGCCCTCGGACTCCACGCTAATTCCGATTTAAGAGCATCGTCCGAGTAAAACGGTCGCGACGCGTAAAAAGATGACGCTGTCGGCCGGAAGGATCTCCGGAAGGATTAACCGCGAAGAAAAACAGGATCGCGGTGGACAAGTCGCGCGGTGGATGCGACAATTCCGGCTGTAATCAAATCCCGCTTTATCGCCGGCCTCGCGTTTCACGAGACCCCGTGATAAAGCATCGCCCGGCGACATTGCGAACGTCTCCGGCCCGTAATGCGTGCTCCTGCCGCGCGTTTTATCTTCAAATTGAATTTCTTCTTTTTTCTCCTGCTCCTCCCTCTCTCGCTTTTCTCTGGCCTCGCGGCGCGGCGTGCCGGGTAACATTTGCCAGCGCGTTGCCGCGCCGTGCCGGAACGCTCCGGGAAATCGTCGGGGAAATTAAAATGTTAATGGACGCCGAGATGATTCCCGGGGCAAGGACGCGCGATGGTCGGCCGTCCCGCCGAAGATATTGTCCATAAATTCTCAACCGTTTTAATCAAACGCAACACCGTGCTACCTTTTTTCTCCCGCCGGCCTTCGAGCCGTAACGAGGCCCTTTATTTTGCGGCGAGGCGAGGCGAGGCGGTACGCGCGATCGGTCATCGCGGCCGCTCGCAGTCGCGAGATAGCGCACGGCGCATCCTACGTTTTCGAACGCTTCGCTGCCTCTTATCTGTTTCTGAGGACAGCGCATATTTTCCGGTGACGAACTACGTCGAGCCCTGCAAATAACTATGCTCGCCTGCCGTAAAACGAGCCGTTTCGCCATTAGACCGGATGCTTCTCATCTTCTTCGTGTAAACTGCGTTTTATTGAAGCACCGCTCGATGCGACGCGACCTCTCGAAGTTCTTCTCCGGAGACTGTTTCCTCAGCCATGAACCCTTTAAACGGCAAATTACTTCGTTTTCTTTGCTTCCGCGAAGATAAATTTGTGCGAGACTTCATTTCCGGGATGGAAACGGCGCAATTACTTCCGCAAATATACGCATATTCTTCGATTGTTCTTCTAGAAAGTAAATAATTGGTCGGTCCCCTTAATTTCGCCCCCGTTTTTAATTTCATTTTCACATCGTACCTCGTTCGTCGGCTTTGGGTTTCTTCTGTTGGTGCGATTATTACGCGAGAAAAATTAAATCGGAATTAAAACGAGCTCGTCGGATCATTCCATTTGCGTAGATTATTTCCGAAAGCCGTGGGGAAACTCTCTCTCTCTTGTACCGACCAGATTTTCTTCGATCCATCTATGGAACGCGATTCCAGCGATGGCAGTGTTTTATAATACATTTCCTTTCATTTTACACAATCTATAAAATGATCTATAGAAAACGTGCTCCCCCCTGGGGAAACAGAAATCCGCGGCGTGGCCGGGAAATTTGCATCAAAACTTCTCCCCATTAATGCCTTTAAAATGGTTTCTGCTGCGAATCCTTTATCGGTACGTTTTAGATTCCCCGTTCTACAGAAATCGGAATAATTGCATTCTACGCTATTCAGATTACTCGTAGCTCTCCGCGCAGCGATCCCCAGGAGCTTTGCACATTTATCAGAACCCCGGTGTGTATCGAGCATCGAAATTCGGGCTGACGCTGCTGCAGGTCCGCGGGAACTTCGCTGAATCCTCTGATCATCCCGAGACCGATCCTTCCGTAGCTTCGATAATTATGCAGCAGCTTAATCGCCCGCTCCACTGTTTATACTTTCCGTTTCGGAATTTGTTAGGTCGTTGCTCGACAACTTTCCGAATAATACGGGGTATCCATAACGAATCCTCGATGGAGAATGTTTATAGTTGTGCAATCCATTCGCATAGTTTCGCCGATAACAACGATTCAAGGTCTACGTAAAATTCATCTCGTCTTTCCAGATTTCTGTTTTTAATCGTGTTTAAATAACTAACGCTCGAGAAAGCGACTGTAGATTGTCTTTCAGGCCGTTCGTCGAAGCTTACAAATTATATGCAGACTTGCTAGTTGGAAAAATAGCTAAAACCACGTGTTTTTAAAGAAGTGCCGTCTCGAAAAGGCTAAAAACAGGCTAAGAACGGTTTAAAAACGACTTCTCAGTTGATCATCACGGTCCCCGCAAGGATTCTCTCGACACGTTAACCCGCAATTACGCTTCGTCGGAGTCCTCGAGTTGCTGCATTTCGCTGCTGCGTGACCGACCACAGCGGCCAATCAGCAAGTCCACGATCGCGTAGGATATTCGTGGACACTCGGTTCTACAAGCGGGACGCGGGACGCCGGCGCTCGAATACGATTAAAGAGTTTCAATTTTCCAGTGAATTTTCCCCGGCGACGGTTCCATAAATATTCAATGGCCGACGGCGGCGTCTTCCGTTCGTTTCGCGGCGTCTTCGGAATAACGGAATAATCCGAAAGAGTCCTCGAATTTCGTTGTTGCTCGACGGGAACGCCGTCGAAATCCAATTCCGGGTGGGTAGTTTCCGTCATCGTTCCGCCCGGTTCCCGCGGCGGGCGGTTCCATTGTTTTAACAATTACGACGGTTCTCGCCGTTGCGCCGGTAACGAGAGCAGTCGGCGTCCGAGGATTCTAACGAGGCTGCGAATTAAAATCGTTCAAAGCGCCTTGCGCGGCCCGCGGAACATAGAGAAACGGGCAGGTGTTCCACGCCGCGCCAGCAAGTAAGGTGCGCGCGTAGCTTCCACGCGCCCTCGGCCCTTTGTGCTCGAAATTCGCGCGGTCCCCTGGACGTTTCGGCCGCGGGAGGCTGCCTGCCTCGTAAGAGAAACGTTCTCTTCGCAGGAAGCTGACCAACTGCTTCTCCGCGGTCCGACACGAATTTCCAGCAGCCCGTGCAATATCTAACTCCGCCCTTGACCGGGCCCGGCTTAATAGAATTTCTCTTGGCCGAACGAGATTACGGTTCCATTGTAATTTACTTTATTCGATCTGTTTCCCGGTCGTTCCAGCTTCCAATTACCGCCGCGAGGCGATTGTTTTTCATCCTGGACAAAAATGTGCTCGATCGAATCTGCGGCCGCGCGCCGAATTTCATTATTTTCGCGTTCGACGTATCGTCGCTCATAGTTCCCGTCCCTCGGTGTCGCTCACGCAGATTTATTCTGTTCCACCGATATACCGATAGATTCCGACAAATGGAATTTCGTTCGAATTACTTTTACGAACGCGTGCGCGCAAAAAGTCCTTTCCACGGCTGTCCGTAGCCGAGAGCGCGCGTGTTCGAGCAAGCCCGAAGTCGGCACTGTTCGGAGGCAAACGACGCGACCGTTAATTGGATCGATAGGACGGTTCGGCCATTGTCGCTCGAAACAGTGGGCCCTCCGTCGATGACGAGTCGGCTCGAATTTCTTCGGGGGGGCGCGCGTCGGTGCCGGCGGTGTAACCCCAATTACAACGCAGCCCCTTCCCATTAGGCCGGCCGGCCTCGTTACGATCGCGCGTCAATAAACTCGGTTTTGCGACCGTCGTTCGCACCTCCCGGGCCGGTGATTAAATTATCGCCGGTAATTTCCTGCCAGTTACGTCGCACCGAGCCGCGCGAACCTCGTCGAGCGGCGCGCTTTCGCTGTTTACGCGCGTAATTTCTCGCGTTACGGGCGGACCGTGTAATCCGAGGAATATTCTGTTGAACCGAAGTCCCCGCCGGTCGCGGGGTCTTCTCGGTGGCACGGCACGCTTTTGATTTCATTCGCTGCCAAATGGTTATTTTACGACGGGGCGAGACGCGCGAGGGGTGGCGGCGCCGAAGGCGGAGGCGGACGCGGCCGGCAAAAAGACGCGTTGAAACGACGGACGTGCAAAGCCGGGCAAGTTTAAAATTAATGTTCCGCCGGTAAAAACCGTGGGTTTAAATGCAACGTCACGACGCGATACAAATTACTATTCGTCTCTTATTCGGGTGCTTGTCAGATTCAGGAGGCCGCGCCTGCAGCTGACCAAGCACACGGCGGAAAAAAAAACGGGACACGCTCGCGCTCGCTCGAATATTTTTAGGACGACGCGGCACGGGCTGTAGTTCAATTATCCCGACTATTTTCGGCCAGCTTTGCTGTGCCCGGAAAATGCATTTTCCCACCGTGATACCGTGAACCGTGTCCCCGGAGCTTCAAAGTTCTCGGGTTCTTTCAGTTTTCAGTCCGATGATCGCATCGCGACGGCAATAACTGCGTTTGAAAGATGCTGTCCGGCTTTCGAACGAAACGAACGCAACTTCGACGAAGCGTCGACGGTTTGCCGAACGTGTCGTGGAAATCTAGCGGAATATTTTCGAGTGTACGAAAATAGTATTGAAGACAGCAAATCCAGATGTTCGAAACAAAAGAAAAAGGGACTTTACATTTTCAGTTATTTCGCAATTCTGCAGCAAAATTGTGGCACTGCGGGGCACCCCAGCCAGGATGCCCGGGACCCTTTTGTCGATTCCATTCGCTCGGACAAAGATTAACTTTGACGCGAGACAGACTCGGCGTCGAAAGCGACAGCAACGAGACGCGCGAGGACTCGCAGCGTGCGTCGAGCGCACAGAGTCGACCGGTGTAGGTAAAAATCATGCCAGAGATGGCCCGAATAGGTAGAGGAGGATAGGGCCAGCTGGTTCTGGGATTGGCAGGGGTCCAAAAGAACAAAAATCGCGCGCCCCGCAGCCGTCCCGCCGCGCCGGGCGATGCACCGGCCGCGTCCGCGGCGGATGCATGATTTGTGTGCTTTATTAAATCCGATATTGGTCGACTCGGCTAACCTGGTTTCTGGCCATCGGTTATTTTGCGCCAGGAACTACGTCGTCCGGATGATTTTTCGCGAATCTGTCGCTTTCATCGAACACTGGTTTCGCGAGGGCGAAAATCAAGCCGATTGCACATTCAGCGCGGTTCTAACCTCGTCTGCTCTTGTTTGCCGTTCGCCGTCTTGAATTCGACATCGTTTCAGCAAGCACCGCGTTCTCGGTCGCTTTTTGCCTCGCGCGATTCTCTTCGATCGGTGTATCTCTCGTCGAAGAGAGTATTTGTTTGCGGAAGATTTTGTTGAACCGGGCTTGTTAGAGTACCCTGAACCAAGCTGGTAAGAGATCGTACCGAAGTGCGATGCATTTTGAAGAAACTTTGGGAAAAGACGCTGCCTATGAAAGGGTTAAAAATCATTCGCGTTTCGATGTCGTTTGGTAGTCTTTTATAACTTGCGAACATCCACACGTTCTTCCCGATTTGAAAGATTTAAGCAGGATAGCACAGTTTTCTAGTTTTCTCGGACAATTGAACTTTTGACCCGTGCTACAGTACATCGAGATATTTCGGAGGGCGCGTTCGAGGTCGCAACGACTGCCCTACGGCTTCTCCTCGACGCGAGTTTCCTGTGGAAGAATTTACCTTCTCGACCGCCTTGAAGACTCGAATCAGGTTGAGGCCCGCCAGCTTCTGGATGTCCTTCTCCGACCATCCTCTCGCCAGCAGCTCCGCGAAGAGCTCCGGGTACTTGCTAACGTCCTCCAAGCCCGACGGTGTCCTGAAACACCGGGGGTCGTAAAGCGTTTTTATGAAAATGTTCGTCGGCCATCCGGGCGTGGACCCGGCCACCAGACTAATCGTAGGTTCTTGTTACCGGTGTGCGAGGCGGAGTGGTCCTTTCCGCCCCTCGCAGGCTTGTAAAGTGGCTTTCATAGCCCGGCGGACACCCTAACGGCGGTTCGATAAAGTCGCCAGCCGACCGGATCGCCATTATTTACATAAATATCCGCCGCGCGGACGGAGACGAGTTTTTAATGAACCGGCGCGACGGCCGGAATTCAATTAAAAAAGCTGCTCGAAAGCATTCGATGAGCTCCCGCGGGTCCTGCGTCCGCCGTGCAATTTCGCCGGCGCGGCGCGTAATTCTTCGCGGGAAATTTAATCTATTACACGTCGCGTCGGTCGCGGACGAATAATCTTCTTTGGGGACCTTCGTTACTCAACGTTCACGCTTTTTGGTGGGCGCGCGAGCGAGCGAGCGTGCGCGCGCGTCTGTCCGCGTTCGCTCGTCGCAACTTTTTCCGCCGCGCGGCGAGCTATTCGTCCGCGACGCACGAGAAAATCGAGGGTGGAACGTTGACATGCACAAAAATCCATTCGCGAAAGAATTTAATGACATTCCGCGTATTCTTCGGTCGAGTTCCTTCAACGGACCGCCGCCACCGACCGACAGAAATTACACATGCCGGCGTCCGGCGCTTTTTAACGTGTCATTTTCTTGCGAACCCGCTTCTACACAATTTTCAGCCCGCGTTTTCTTGCTCGCCTTCCTGCTTTCTATTATTCCGCGCGGCGCGTTCAAGGATTACTACCTCCTCGCCTATTGAACGCATCTCTTTTATCCGACATCGGGAGCACGCGGCTTCTTATTCCACGTTCATTTCTCTACGACCTCCTCGTCTCTACCCACGTTTCGTATCTGCGCTGCAGATTTGATTATTTTGGAAGCTTTCGACGACAGAGCTCGATCAACCTTTTCATCTTCTTTCGAATGCAACCGTGATATTTCCCTGCTCCTAATTATGCAGCAATGTAATCGTTCGATAGGATCGATGTCTATTATCTTTTGCTCGTCGAGTTAGATGGACCTATTCGCACCGTATCATGATTGTATTCGGTATTTTAAACAACATTTTCTTCGATATAACCGAACGATAACGATGATAATAATAACGGTAATAACAATAGAGATTTATCATCGATCTGATTACACGCGCGCGCGAAGTCTTCTTCGCTACTCCCTCGACAACGAAGTTAATATGATTATAATAATTATATTGCCATCCTGCTGGCCGTATCCCATCCTTTATTTTCATCAACCGATAACGCGCCATCGTTATACTCTGTTTTAAATATTCTTTTAATTTCCTCCGCATAACGTAATATCTCTCCAAAGTTCCGTACAATGAAATTAATGCAGGTCTTCGCGGAAATTCCTATTTGAATAGAGCGTCTAGGAAAAACCGGAATAAAAAGGATAATTTGTGTTGATTAAAAATTTTCATCCGGCGAAAATGGTACGGGAGTCTCTTCTACTCTACAAATTTGTACACGGTCCAAATGTGTGGGTAAATTACGATTTCGTTTACCGAGCGTTCCGTAGGTGGTATTCATTTTCAATTGCGAAAGATCCGTCGTTTCGTCGTTCTCCAATTATTTAATATATCTCCGCGTTGTTTCGCGCGCGTGTATCGTTAATTTACGGGATAGAGCTAATATCGGCACTCGGCGGCTGTGCCGCTTTTATACTCGACGGTTCGAATATTCCTCAGTTTCCTGCGACGCAACGAAGATTAATAGGACGACGGCAACAATAAGGAGATTTATAGTTGGCGCGAGAACGAACGGGTCGGGGGAATCGTCGAGAAAGGCCGGCACGGTCGCCACGATTTTTCTATTCGAGAGAAACCGTGGCCGGCGCGGCGCACGGACGCGGACGCGGACGCGAAGTCGGCCTACAATGACGACCTTGTCGGGAAGAGCAGTCGCGGATAAATTATGAGTCTCCTCGGGCGGTTTATCCCTCATTACTTTAATTACTATAGCATAGCGAGCTACCGGGCGAGTAGCGCGAGCCTCTATTCTGCGAGATCGGCGCCGCGCCGCGCCGCGTCAGCGAGCGGGAGACGTCAGAATGCGACTTCGCCTTTCAACTTCAACGGACCCGGACGACCCGCGCGATCTCAACGGATAAATGTGCCACGAGGTCGAGCTCCCTCTCACCCTTCTCTCTCTCTCTCTCTCTCTCTCTCTCTCTCTCTCTTCCGCCTAGCCCGTTTTTAACAACCCCGCCGGCCGAGCACGGATAACCGAGGAGATAATGAGAATTAACGGTTCCGGCTATTTTTATTCGCGATTATTGCAACGCAATTAAGACCGGCCAGACTCGGTCTCGAATCTGGCGCGGCGCGACGCGACGCGGCGGGTCGATTGATTCGATCTTTCGCTACGCTGCACGTTCTCGCGGCACGGTCCTCGGGAACCGTTACATAAAAGATTTCCCGAGAGACTTTGCGCCCAGTTTTGCTTCAGAAATTCTTGTCCCACTCGTAATTTCATATTTTAGAGGTACGCGGGTCGCAACGATCCGAGAGGAGAACGTTTCGCTTGGCGCGCAAATAGAGAATTTTATTCGCGATTTCCTGTTTTCGTAGGTAAATGAAATTATAATGGCATCGGAGAGACGTTGCCACGGTGCTCCGCGATACGTTGAAACAGAGGACGGCCAAATATTTGCTCGGCTTATGAAAATTAAACACGTTCGTTTGTTTCGCCGGCGTCGTTCACGGATCAAATATTTCGTATCGAGCGCGCGCGAAATGCTGGAATATTAGATGAAAATTCGACCAAGACGGTACATCGAACGCGCCTACGAATCGATCGAAACGTTCGAATACCATCGGTCGACTTCGCGCACAATCGATCACCGACGGAACCGCGACAACGACGAACGTAACGCGACCGAAATCGATGGAACGCGCGAATAAATACCGAAGCAACCCGGGGACGTTGCAAACGAACGCGACTCGTAATACATTTGTTAAATTACAAATATTATATCGATCGTTACAGTAGACTGTCTAATTTCCGCTCGAGGGTCAATATCGTCGCGACGGAGCAAAGCGGAGCTTGCGACGCCGCTAAATTCGACGTACGATATCGCGATATTCGCGGAAACAACGCCGCGTCTGCGCCGATTTCCGTTCGATTCGAATTATGCCAATTTTACGAGTCGTCGGCGGATTACCGAATTTCCTAAGCGAGACGACCGAGAGCATCGCCGAACGAAAAGTTGGTCCTGCGAAAGAATCTCCGAAGCCGATAACGAAGCATTCGACGCGGCGACATTGGTCAGCGAGTGCATTATCGACAGCATGCAACTGCACAGAGTGATAACGTTCGAGAGACGAGAACGTAGGAAACGCGCGCGCGACGATGTGGCCCCGGCTCTCGTAGTCGTCGCGCGTTAATGACGGACACACTCGATTTGGAAATTCCCGAGATTGAAACAACGCTCGTGACCGTCGACGCGACGCGAGGCGACGCGACGCGACGGTCGATCTCTGCTCGCAGTATACAGCTGCATAACTGCCAGTTTCAGCCGCGATATGACGCGCCATGAATAAGTCTCTAACCGCTCTTGTTGGCCCGACATTGTCAGCAGGTAGCTTTCAACGGTTCTGCAACGCTCGTTGTCGACGGTCCCGCGTCTCTGACGCTCGTTATGACGCGCGTAATGAGAACGTCGAAATTCAGACTGATCCCTTTTAACGCTCAACTCGACCGTCATTCCTCTAATTCGCCGTGAATATCCGGCTGCGTCGCACCGCCGCGATGCACTCGTCTGCATCGCGATACCTGCGCGACCAGCTCCCGTCGCATAGGCGTCGCGTCGACTTCAACGCCGGGCCATTTATTTGCGGCCGATCGATGGGGCTCGCTCTTATCCTCGAACAACCATGCCTTTTTACGGCTACACGGTCGGCGATCCTCAAGATCGTTCGCAGATTCGTTTAGATAATCGTCGTCGATCAACAATCGGGTCAACAGACCCCTTGCAAATCTTTTGCCAAAATTTCTTACTTTATCATCGTGTTTCGATTTTTACTGCAATTTACGTGCAACGTATATTTCGATATTTATAACTCTCTCGTTTATTTTTCGATACAATTGACTTTAGGAATTTGAGATAATACCTGGACACGAGATTTTTCTTTCGAGAAGACGGAAGCATATATATCGGGAACTTTTTCTAGCTGTTTCGCTAAACGTCTTCCGTAGACAGACCTCTCTCGGGTATTGCACATAATTCTCGCATTCTTCAGCCGGTTCATTTGAAATTCGGAAAAAGACTTCTCCGTCGCGTTATGCAAAATTTGCGGTGTAAAAATGTTGATTCCGAGAAACTTGTTCCCTCCGAATTCTCGGCGGATCGAATAAGAAACGAAAATGTGTGGAATAAAAAGTTTCACGGGCCACCGCCGTGTACGCCGACGGTTTCCCGTAACGACTCCGAGCGTTCCGCTGCGAAGCAATCGCCGGCCTCGGTCGAAACCGCCCGAAAACGAGTATCGCGCGGATGAAATTCGCTGGATCTGGAAATTCCGCTCCTGTTCCGGGCTTCTTCCGGCGCGGGCGAATCCGCGCGGGACCGAGTAACAATTACGCGGTCCGCGCGCGATCGGTGAAAACGACCGCGACGACCAAGTCCGAGGGATATGGCGCGTGATAAAATATTGCCGGCGTAAAATTGGGCCGAGCAGATTTATCGGCGGCGTTCGAACCTAGCCGTCGACCAAGTTGCCGTGGGTCCGGCGCGGCGCGTTCCCGAGAGCAGTTCCCAATTCGCGGCATTTCCGGTTCAGCCGGCATTTCCGACGCTTCGTTTTCCCGCGGATTGTCATCGGACCCGGGGGAGAGCTCCGGGAACACGGATAAGTCCGCGGCGAAAACACGGGACGAATCCCTGACACGGGAACGTCGAAGACTTTCGCTCCC